TATCAAAGATATTGCCTATATTCACGTTTGAAAGTACATCTGATGTACTTTGTTTAATTAACCTGTGTCATATACTCAAATAGATCATTTTATCGTCACAATTACAAGAAGTTTATAAAACAAAGAAACATAAACAATGATGAAGAGGAACATTTAGATACGGTTAAAAAGCAACAATCAAATTGAAAAGCGATTATCTTATCAGTACCATGTTCACTGGCATCACACTTGGTCTCTTTTTTTTCTAAGCATTTGAAATTTCCCTCTTCGGTGTTTTTCTTTGTTTTTTTATTTTAATGAAAAAGAATGAGCATTCATGTGTATTCTGTTTGGAAAACGATATCCAAAAACAGAGTTGTACGGAAAATAAGAAAAAGAGGCGGAGTAGAAGGCTAGTCTTAATGTTCAAAAAACTATGTACATGAATATATGAATATACACATATTGGGCTGATCATTCTCGTAAGATGGCCCAATTCTTGTTTTTTTTTCTACATGTAGCTTCTATAATACTTGGGAATTTTATGATATTTGTTTTGCCTGTTATAATACTTATGTATTGCTGATAATTTGAATTATATATCTTATTTGAAATCAAAATAATTAAGCGTTTTCATAATATCTTTCAAATAACAAGTACAAATGACAATGAATGAATAAATTTGATAAAAAAAAACATGTCTCAGCAAAATATTTGACAAAGATTTCTTAACATTTTGTTACCATATAATGCTGATATAAAAGAGAAAAAGATATAAGACATACTTTACAATTGTTTCTTAGGTGTGGATGCGGATGTGAATGAATCAACAAAGATCACATTCATACCCATACCCACAATGACCGACTTCTGTAAATAAAATTCATCACAAAGTTCTCTCGAACATAATTGTTAACTTTTAGCGATGCATTTCTTTGTTCTGTTATCGATCATGAAAAGTAAAAATTCGTAGAAAGTTTGCATCAATAAACAAGAAACTTTGTTCTTGTTAGTGAAAAGTGTTTCGTGATGATGTATATATTGCAAAGAACAACATAAACGAAAATAAAAATAATAAATATACATCATTATTTTAATTACCGTAGTCAATATCTATCAAATCTTGACAAGCAAACAAATTAGAAATATAAGAGAGCGAGAAAGTATGTTTTCTTACCTGTTTTAACTACAAGTACTCACCGCTATAATTATTTGTCGTATACTGCAGAGCCGACAGCGTGTGCATAAGCATTTTGTAAACACTATATCATGTATGTTGTTGTTTTGATATGCTTCATTGTATTTGGCCCATTCACATGCCGTTGAAATGCGCCAATTTAAAATAAAATCATTAGCGACGACGAATAGATTCCTGAAATGAGGAATTGATCAGTGAAGAAAAGTGAGTCGTTACTTACAGAGACAAACAGAGAAGTGAATATTTGATGACTGAGTATAGAGTAGACTAGAATAAGCAATTTTTTTATCTGTTTTAAATTATTTATTCCTAGTGAGAGTAATATTTTCACAGATGATTTCTCCTTAAGGTAATAAAACACTGTGATTCCAAACTTTACCTGGTAAGTGTAAGGATTCTCTTCTAATTAACTGTAACTAAGATTTTGTCAGAAACAAACAGTTAAAAACTGGAGCTTTATCAATAACTATCATAATTACTTTTGCTCTCTTTTTTTTCAAGAAATAGAAAGACATATGAACATTAACAAGAATGTTTTTTTTTGTTTTCGTACCTAATTAATTCTAGTGACCCATTATTGCTGAAATCCATAAATTCTAGAAGGAATTTTTTCGGCTGTGGTAATTCAGTTTTTAGGGATGGCACTAAATTATTGAATATTGTAAAGTAACAATATTTCTTAGAAAATTGATAACTCGTGAGAATGTTTTGTATTCAATTGATAAGTCTGCCTTCTTCGTTAAAACTGTCTCTTGAATAAATTGAATAAGTTTAGATGGATAACGAGTTGCTATCAAACGAGCACACGTTGCCAAAATCAGCAATTACTGTGAGTGAAATGAATAACAGACGTCATGCTACAGATGCAATCAATGAAAATAATAATTTCAATGTCACTGATAATTCGATAAAGTCACAAACACCTGAGAAATTGTCGTATGTCTATTTTTTAGAAATATTAGCCATGTCTTACGTTTGTCCTTCTTAGGATAGGTCATGTCAGATCCATATCAAGTATTAATCACACCGTGTTTATTTTGTTGGTATTTGTTATCGTAATGATAATTCCTGGAATTATAATAGTTTGCTTAACATCACCGAAAGAAACAAGTATGTTTATCTGATTTACTTCACTTATATTTTTAAGGCACTGTGAAAACTCAAAATCAGACTGATATGAAAGACGAAAAAAAGCATACTTAACTATGGATAGATAATTTAAACTGCTACTAATAAAAATTGTGCATTTCTATATGCAATAAATACTATTAATGTAATAATAATTCGAAAGTATCTTATTATTATTTAAGTCTATATAAAACTTTTCTCACAAGAAACAGATTTTTCTTTTATATGGTTCAAACGTGGATATTGAGTTATCATCTTTCAAGGAACCGGACAAAAATTTAAGAGGAATTGTCAATCGAAACTTAGTTCTTGTTCATTTTGTTATGGAATATCAGTGATGAAATTGTAGTCTATCTTCAGTTTATGCAGAATCTTTTATGACTCAAGACTCACTGATGGATCGAGTTGCGATTTAATCCATTTTGAGAGAGGGTTTTGCCCCATCCCTCCTCGCTCGGAACACCCCTGGATATCATATGAATGTATGAAGGGATTTTAATGATCGTCAGATAAGAGACAAAATAAGTCTTGTTTTTTACGAGTAGAAATTACACTCAATGGTCATCAAGAACACATGAAACAATATCTTGATGAAGTTATTAAAACAGACCAAATGTGTACAATTGTGTTGGACTTACTTTTAGAACTCAATTTGACATGTATTTTTGCCCAAATAAAATTCTAACAAATGCCTGAACGTTTGCATTTGTCAAACATCTACAATAGAAATTTCCATTATGTTGCATAAAAAGTGTAGGATCTAACCATTTTTAAAGACAAAGTTTTTATCAATAGAAAAAGACTTCTAGTCAAAATAATGATCTTGGAAAATTTTATATATTGACATTTTTTATATACTATCATCTATTCTCCATGAATTAAATTCAATGCTTGTAGATAAACCGTGTAAACTTCGCTTCGAATCCAAAATTGAACAATCAACTGGCTACGACTCATACCCGCACTCTGTCGTTGTTGATGATTTTAATAATGATAATTTATTAGACATGGCCGTTGCAAATTATGGAACTGACAATGTTGGTGTATTTCTTCAAAATATTGATGGATCGCTTGTAAATCAAAGTATATTTTCGACGGGCTCTGGATCGCAACCATATTCTGTTGCTGTTCGGTGACTTCAACAACGACAGTCAACTGGACATTGCAGTCACCAAATATGGCACACACGAAATTGGTATACTTTTCGGGTGTGGGTGTGAGTGTGTCTTTAGTATTAGCTCACACGCACACCAGCACCCATCCTCACAACCCACACCCACACTCTCTTTCTCGGATATAGCAATGGATCCTTTCGAAAGACGAACAGCTATTCAAGACAAGAGATATCTTATACACGTTCAATAGCAATTGGTGACTTCAACGAAGACCATCTGCTAGATATTGTTATAGCTAATGGAGTAGCCGACAATGTCGGAATATTTCTCAGCTCTGGCAATGGAAGTTTTCAAACGATATTGATTTATGCAATAAGTTCAGGCTCTGTGCCATACTCACTTGCTGTTGGTGATTTTAATAAAGACCATCACACAGATATTGTCGCGGCCAATAATGGTACTAACAATATCGGTGTATTTCTGGGATACGGTAACAGATCTTTTTCCAATGCAAAAATGTGTTCAACAGGAGTTCACACTCGTCCTATAGCAGTCATTGTAGCTGATTTTAATGGTGACAATCAATCGGATATCGCTGTGGCTAATTCGAATACTAGCAGTGTTGGTGTATTTATCGGATATAGTAACGGAAGTCTTACGAATATTGTTGAATATTTTACTGGTGGTGATTCTCATCCATCTTCGATTACTGCCAATGATTTCAATAATGATAATCAATTGGATATGGCCGTCACCGATTCTGTTGGCAACAAATTATTTATACTTCGAAGCTATGGTAACGGAACGTTTGTACAAGATTCAGTAATTGAGTTTGGTTTTCAAGCTCGACCGAGTTGTGTCGTTCATGGGACCTTTAATAAAGACGAAAATATGGATCTAGCTGTTGCTAATCACGACCAAGGAAATATTGCAATTATTTTGAAAGAATGTTAAGCTCTTTTCAATTTACTTTTTCTCGTTTTTTGTTATACTTATTTTTCATCATACATTATCCTTATGAATAATTTTTTGAAGTTCTTCTATTATTGGTGTAGGTGTTAATGTTCTCTTCATGTACATCCACACCTATGTCCCCATTTATGAGTTCTCATAGATAATAAAAAAGTTCCTGTGATAGATTTTCTGAAAATTGAAAAAAATATTACAATGACAGAATAGGTTTCTGAATACTAAATGACTTCAATTCAGAATTTTTCGTTAAAATGTGCCCAAATAGAAAAAGTTTATATTTTATTTTCTATGCATTAACTTTGAAAGAAAGAAAGCATATGAACAAGTTAATCATGATCAAAGTTTTTTAAAAAACAATCAAACAATAAATAACAATACTAATATCAATGAAGACAATTTTTAGATCGCCTGAAAAACAAAAAAGAGATCAATGTTATAATAGAGTCAATATTTTTCTTCTTTTAAATATCTTGTTTAAGTCTTATGGATTTATAGAAATTGTTAATGAATCTAGAAAATTAAGGTAGACGAAGGACAGATCTGATCAATGGATGGAACTGATCTGGATTGAATTGATTTAAAATAATATTATCCATTTCCGACATTAATAATTGATAACGAAGAAATTGAAAAATAATCAATTCTATCGCACGTATTGCGTCTTTTTCTTTATAAATAACATTTAAATATTTCCATAATAATGTTATAAAGAAATTTTGATGTTGATTTATTAAATTTTTATCAATAAGTTGCATTGATAATTGATTATAAGGTAATCTCGACAAATTACTTATAAACATAAAAGTAACAAGTGCTATTTTTAATGCCATTGGATATTGAATAAAAAAATCAAGTGAATGACGTGTTTTTGACATTTGTCGGTGAAAATCAGGATTTATTCATTTACTCATATATATACCAAGTTTTGCACCTTCTACAAAATTATCTTTTAATACATGATGAATATGAATTAAATGTGTTATATTGCATTTTATTAATATTATTTGATCTTCTAGATTTATTTGTTTAAAATGTGGAATTTTTTTATAAAATTTGATTAAACTTTTAAACATTTGTTGTTCATCATTGAGAAAATCTTTCAATGTTGAATCAATTAAGGAATAATTATTTATATGAGTTGTATCACAATCTAATGTTGACAAATCATATGCATCTTTTATATTATTAATTAATGACCACTCATCCGATGTTAAATTTGAAGAAGAAGAATTTTTATTCATTTTAAATGCCTATGAAGAATTTAAAACAAAAATATTTCATCATGACAATTCAAATATGATGTAGAAAAAAGAACAATTTGCAAAGACTAATAAAAATGTAAGTCCTGTTTCGGATATAAAAATTCAAACACAAAGTATAAGATCAATAATAATATTCATCACTCTAGCAAAGAAAAACAATAACTTTATATATGTATATATATATAAATATATATGTAGAGAGAAAAACAAAGAGATCATCTGACGAGGACTGACCATCTATATAACATATGGATAGAGGACGATCCTAGCTGTGTCTTTGCGAATTTCGTTACATCTTTTCGACTGACCCAAAGTTGACTGTCAGAAACAGTGGGACATCTACATGATGGAACTGTATGTCAACATAAATAGATTTCATTGTTATTGATCTTCTATTATTTGATAGGTGAAGTTACTATTCTGTTTAAGTCAGTATATTGCTTTCATTTTTCGTATCTGAAATTAACTTAGCTTTAAAGTTATTAGACATTCAAAATCATAGAAACATTTTCTTTTTACTTTTATGCACATAGTCGGATAGAGCACATGTGAAATACTCTGCATAACTAATTTTTCATTTTTATAAATATAGTCTGGATGGAAAAAAACATTCCAAACAATGACATATCCTATTTTTGGGTGAAAAGAGTTAATTTACAAAAAAACACCGCCTAACTTTTTTAATCATTATTAGTTTCAGTTCTTTAAACGGATTTTTTCTTATTGATTGTGTAAAACTAGCTACAGAAGACAAGACTTGCTATAGTATTCAATATGAAATAATCAAAAACCTTTGATTTAAAATAGAACTTAGACAAACGTCACTATGTCATTGTCCAAATCTTTACGTGTTTTTCTTTCTTGGCACGGGTTGGATGATACAGATTGCAATGAAAAACGTTTTTCAGTGAACCACGGGCGAAACTAAGGGTATGGGTGTGAGGTGTTGGTGTGTGGGTGGGGTGGGGATGGGGATGGGGTGTTCTTTTTACCTGGAGAAATACCCACACCCACACTCGTGCTCAAAGGTTTCTTTTGTGACCGTAATCGTGATCGTGATTGAAAAAAGGTTTCCAAAATCACGATGATAATACGAACGTTCAAAACTACACCCATTTTGTCGGAAATATAATGCTTCACATTTAAATAAGAAAAAAGTTTCGCAGTTCATAGGCTTCATATAACAAAAGTAAAAAACAATACACATAAATTATCCAAATAATATATGTATAAAAACTGATGACAATCGATTTAATCTGAATTTTTGTCAAGTTTTGGTACATGGCAAAGAAGCTTCAACGAGAAAAGGCTAGATAAGCTGTCAGTCACTTTCACCATTTAGCTATCACCATCACTCTCATCCTCTGAGAGAAATCAGAATTAGACATTTCAAAAATACTTATACATACACCAACAATTCTAATATCTTCGAATCACTTACAATGTGTGCAAACAAATGAAAACGATGAATTTTCTGTGTGTTTATATTCTTTTCGAGAGTATTTAATGGAGTATGTCCCATAGGGGGCAAGACAAGACGACAAACAGTTATTCGTGTCTCGAGATTAGACATGTCTGGAATCAAGTTTCGTTCATCCCAGTCCCGGTAAGTTTTTTCTTTTGATCTCACACATGTTTATTAATGGCAGTTCAAGAGACTTGCTTTGACTTGTTGAGACTTAATAAGGCTTAAACAGACTTCGCTGGACGTCATAAAGCTTCAGAAGACTTCACGAGTATAAGTGCGCGGAGTCAAGTTTTTTCTCATCCGCCTGCTTCGCAGATGCATACTTTAGATATCATGAAACACTCGTGATCGTGATTGTGATCAAAAATATCAATCACGCAATACACTACAATTGGTCCATGCAAGAGGCTAGAAATGTAAACAAAAATATATTCAATGTTGTCAGCTTCTGTTTTTAATTTCGTTTGTGACGTGTTCATGAAGAAACAGATATGAAGATATTTAACTTTACCATTAGAAAAAATTGTGACTACGAATTGATCCTATTAATTATATATTTGCCTTATAGTCAATATCAAATGATTAAAAACGACCATAAACGAGTAGTCTGTGAGAGAAAAATACAAACAGTACTTGCTAAAGAATATAATAATAAATGAAATTGAATAAGAACAAAGTTTTGAATAATAAAACATACAAGTTCTAACGGCATTTGCCAAACCGTGTGATATTTACAGTATTTTGGATACTTACATGGTAGAATAATAAAACTAATTCGATTTATAACAAAAAAAAAACGATGAATATCATATAAATCCAATGGAGAAAGATGGAACTCTGTATTTATTGTTGTCAAACATATAAGACTATGAAGATTTTATCTAAAAGTGAAAAGGTAAGTAAAAATCGCTTCAACGGAATCGAACATATTTACGAATTTGTTTTCCTTCAATTAGAATATCGTACATCATCAAATTTTAATCCTTTTTCGATATTTTATTTATTTCTTGATGATTTTTTACATGTACTATTAAAATAGACTCTCTCTTTCAATCAATGCAACTACAAAATTAGTTGAAAATTGTTTCTCTCTCAATGAAAAAAAACACATTGTCTTACATTCAACGATTTTTAATAAATCTGTTTTCTAATTTAATTAAAAACATATTATCTCACGATCTTCATATCGAATATTTTTTTCTTCTAATGAGATATGAATATTTTGAATTGGTCTCTTGATACTTACACTAGCTTCAAAGCATTAGTCGACATTTGGTTACCTTAATGAAGTCGGTACATATATAGATCTATACAACAGAAAAAATCTATTTGTATGCTGTTTTTTAACATAAAATATTGTAAGAAAAATAGTCAACAGTGGACATCATTAGATTCTATTTCGACTTAAATCTGAATTCAGAAAACAGCTTAGATATTTGCACATAGATCGCAAAGTGAGAATTATTTTAAAATTGATATTATATTTTTATTTTGTGAGAGATGTTTTTTTAGCAAAAAATAATCCACAGTTTCTTTTAGCATGTCTTTTTCATTAATGTATTTCTATGAGCACACAAAACGACTAAATATTTTTTTTATGAAGTACTACATGTTTATAATTGAGTCCGCTTTTCTTTGCTTAGAACAAAATAAATAAATGTTGAAAAAACAACAATATTTATTGATAATAATATCGGACGATACATCGATCAGTAGTACTTTTTTTTTTTACATCACGGTCGCATATTTTATGTTTTGCTGACGGAAAAACTAAGAAGAAAAAAACGAACATATATATATATATTTAGAAGGATGAAAATTATAATAAAACATGAATGAGTCAGATATTCATCTTCTAGATCTACCCAATAAAACATTGCTTATCATTATGAAGAAACTCGACAATATTGATGTTCTCTGTTCATTATTTGGAATTAATAATAAACGACATGATATTTTGGTAGAAGATGATGTATTTGCTAGCATTCTTAATTTTACAAAAATATCATCAATTACTGATGTAAAATTTGATCGATTTTGTAGTTCTATTTTACCTCGAATTAATCAGTCTATCAAAAAACTGATTCTCGAAACAACATCTATGGAACGTATTCTTCTTGTTGGTAATTATTCAAATCTGACTTCTCTAGAACTCTTCAATTTTGGACAAGAAATAGTTTACCGACATTTTACAGGTGAGCACATAACATGCTCTTAGTGTTTAAAAGATCAATATGCAAAGATATTTCATTACATTGGTTTTTTTATTTAGATAACTCGACCTTTCGACATAGTTTTAAATATTAAATAACAGAACTGGTTCTTCATAAGAATGATGAATATTTCACTAAAACATCGTTGAAGACTTATACGAGAGATGTGTATGCATATATCATGGTTCTCTTTCAACATCTAAAGCATTTGACAGTAATTGCATCATCTATAAACGAGTATCCACCTTTGTCACTTTGTAGACTGTCGCCAACCACTTATTTCTCTTCGATTCTTACTGTATTAAGTATTAATGTGTTGGAATTCAGTGATTGTTTATCTTTGCTTGATGGTCGTCTCAAACAATTAACTACATTTATCGTTCAAGTTGAATATATTTTCTACTACCCATGAATTCCTCACAATGTGATGAGTTGTTGAAGAATAATATTGACAATGAAATGAGATGAATTTTTATGTTAATGCTTTGTATTATTATTATTATTAGTAGTAGAATAGTGAAATAGAGAAATATAGACCTGTTATCTTAACTAAATGAATAAATATGTATTTCTGAAATATTTTTGTATTTTATAGGATGTGCTACAAAATTTGAAGTGTTTCTTCTTAACAAGTTATCATGTTCCTTGTGATTATGAGCTTAATAATGGAATTCTTGTTCCTATGCCTCAACCTCATACATTCATATTTTATATCAGTACAGAAACAGTCGTTTGTGATTTAATTCATCTTAAATCTAAGGATAATATTCAAAAGCCACTTATAAACACAAAATATGGACAAATGGCTTGTATCACAGAATGTTTCTATATGTTTGATAATATGTGTCATATTTATTCGCTTCCATTCGCATTTACTCATTTACGAAGGATTAGCAATAAATTTCCAAATATTGTATTTGATAATGTAACTTACTTGATTGCCTACGATATCAGTCCAATGAAACATGAATTCTTCATGCGAATTAGTCAAGCTTTTCCAGTATTGAAGTATTTATCTATACAAAATCGGATGTACTAATTATGGAATCGTGATGAATTTATATGTGATAAGTATCCAGCATATTCAATTATCGAATATCATCATCTTATATCACTTGACTTCATATTTGCGCATATGAATTATGTTTTGCAACTTCTATTAGAAATAAAGACACATCTATCGCATCTAACTGAGTTAAAAGTCAAATATAGACATTTGACAGCTGTAACAATGAATTTTACAAGAGATGAAACACGACGCAATTGTACAAAAGTTAAAAGA